GCCCGATATTTGCGCGGGAGACCTCAGCTAGTCTCCGGAGCTGTTGAACGAAACGTGTGCACCTTCTTTTCCATCTCTACGGAGGTAAAATTGCTCAGAGATCACTCCAAATTCGAGAGTAAATGCGATATATATCGAGGCGGGCGGTCGAAAGGTTGAAAGGGGTATTTTCGAATCGTGCGTTTTTTAATTTGTTGATTAACATGAAAGGTTTACCTCAAACGAATTGGGCTTCAACATATCAGACTTTCATGACAGCCTGTAAAGCAGATACCACTATCTGTATATTATCTAATATCGCAAACCGACGGGGAGCTATTCTTAACACCTGTCAGTGGTATCCCTTACGAACCTCCAGCTCTCACTGTAGAGCCTGTAGAGCCTGCAAACCGAGATTGAGTGCCAAAGTCCTTACTTCGACGAGGATCCCCATTCGCTTCCGCCGTCTGTATCATCCTCATCCCTAAGCATAACCCCCTATCACCACCATCATGAAGCTAACTATGATCAGATCAGATGGCAGGGTCAAGGTCCTTCTCATCACCCACCCTTGATCATAGTGGAGAAGCCATCCGATGAGTTTCCGGAGAGTACCTGTTGTAATAGGTCTATGATTCGGGTGTACATACAATTTGTTGGAGCTAGCTGCTAGTGATCACAGATGGGCTGCTGGGCCGGACAGGTCAAGAATTGGAGCGGAGAATAACCCTGTAGAATGAGAAAAGACTGTATTGCTTGCTGTATTTATTTTAGAGGAAAGCTCTCTACTTATAGTCCCTAAACTATTGCTTACTGATGATACTAACTCAACGCATGCAGTCGCGTGACCATCATAACTTGACTTGTGCACTGTAGCTATGTGGCTCCAGGCACAACAGTACCCAGCACCCGATACGGAGATGGCGGTTTGGATCAAGTCGGCCTCGATTGTTACAAAGAAGGGAGATATGGATGAGAATGCACAACTCATGTGGTCCCGGTGTCTAGGCCTCGCCAGGCTGGGCCTGCAGGTTTTTTGAGACTTATTCCCGTGCACGTAGTTTCCATTGCCGCCGTTTTTTAGATAGGAAGTTCCATGAAAGGGGTGACTGAATTCCAAGCGTAAACACTGAGCTGAATGGCTATTCATGACGGGCAATATATCAATGATCTTTCAAGTAACAAAAGAGGATAGGAGCACTGTACAAGGTGTGGCCTGGGTCAGAGAGGAGCCCAATGTTCTAGATAGTCATAGACTCAAGTAGTACAATAAACAAACACATCAGCTGACTAACGAATACACGCTCACAAAAATACGAGGACCCAGAGGAGGCCAAAGATAGTGGGGCAAAAGTCTGGGAGGCAGTTGTCGGTAAAAGGATCATATTTTGGCAGTATGAATTGTTCTATGTATTTGCGGTATTTGGGTTGTCGTTAAGACACCGACAGGGGTCTGGTTTAGCTCATTAGCGAGGCGCTTGGAGTAGAGGTAGGAAGGTGAGGCGGAGAAGAGAAGGAGAGACAACGTTTTATGTATTTAGAGATACCAGTTAATTGACATTACTCACCGACTTCGTGACGGACAGCTGACTTCGTGACGGCACCCAATTGTATTACTTCGTGTTTTACCAACAGCAGTTCTTTGGAGTGGACGTGAGATAAATCATGACAAGTTTCCAAGATGACCGAAAGAATGAATACAGTCCCAGCGGACGCAAAGTTTGTAATTTCAGCAAAGAGAGTGACAAGTTCACGAGCAGAGTGGGGCCACTACTTCGACTGTGAGGGTGTATGCGATACAAAAAACATCGCCATGGCTAGATGGTGCGGTGGCTCATCATCTGGGTTGGTCTCCCAAATAGATCCGGATAGCTTGGACACATATCCCGCCTGAGACTGGAGACCGCCGGTTCGATCCAGCAAAACACAACCACATTCCTCGCGGCGCTAGTGTACGTTGGTGACGAGGGCATGGTAGGATTATCAAAGGTTTCGAAACGTCCCATTGGTGGGTACTCAGGCAGGATCTTCGACTGTTCGTGAATACAATTATACCTCACAGGTATATTTGCGGATGAAATCCAGTCTCAACGAGCTTACTACTAACGTTCCACAGGGCACGAAGGGATATCGAGCGTGATTATAGGACAGCACTGAAGTGGTCGTCTGTAAGGAATAGAAATGTGAGGTGGTACAATATGTAAACAAAGTGTAAGAAGACGTTGCGTGAAGAGAGAATCCGGCCACGCCTACGAGACTATATACAGGATATTACCACTAGCGCTTCAGCACGGGAGGCCATGTGCTCACTACTTGTTTACTACCAGACCACCTTTACCTCTCTAGACTCTCGCATCCACACTCACTGCCTAGCTTACCAAGGTCAAGCACTACGCCAACAGCCTATCATCCCATGGCCAGCGTCGAAAACAGACTAATTATCCCCTACTGCTTATCCAAGAAACCCAGTCACGAGTGTCGCTGAGGTCAAAAGGGCCATCCAAGATGTACAGACGGCGGAACACACCTTGAGTGATGTGAAGAAGAAGAAAAGATAAAGGCTGCCGCGGTCCGGCTCCCGGTGGTGAACTCTGGCATAATTTGCGTAGCCCAGACACCTACTCCACTCGGGCAGGAGAAGGCTCAGACCACCTCGCGCCGAGACGAGGGAATGGGTGATGGAGGCGTGTCGGGATAACTTCGAGTCCGTGAGAATTCACTCTGGGTGAGGATCCGCCGGCGAGGACTGGGCCGGGGAGAGAAAAAGCCACGACGATTTCGCGTCGGTGCCTGCAATTGAGATGCAGAGTGTGAGTGTCCGGCGTCGAAATAGTCTAATAACACGTCTCATAGCTCGGTAGCTGAATGCGCATGGAATGATTTTGGAAATAATGAGGCCGAGCCAAGTCACTACGGCACCAGTACGCAGACCTCATGTCTGCTTCGTCAACTTGATGTGTGCACATGGTGTGAGTGGGTCGAATGGTGCAGTGGACATGGCGTCGACTGGTCCCTCCTCTAGAATACGTAAACTTTCTGTGCCCATCCGACTTGCAACACCACATGCATGCTCCCATGTAGCCGAGGCCTGACCACAAGTGGCGCCGCGCTCACCTTCAAGACCCTGAAACGCGCGTCAGCCTCAAAATCACGTAGGAATACTGGCAGTTGTGCCGGCAACGACGCGTCGAGGCGAGATAGTCCAATCAAATCTACAGCAGGAGTGTTTCGAAGCTTTGATAGCTAGTACGTGATTCCAGAAAGATTGCATAAATGCAGCACGAGAGCCCAAGTGGCCATGAGCCTGAGCACCACACAGTTACATTTGAGATTTACGACACACCCTGAGTTCTCGGACTACTCTCGTCAACGGCCTCGGGGCAGCAGCAGCGAGATGCTACCCTCGGATAAAGATGCCGCCGTTTGGTCTGAAGTGTAAATAAACGTGATGCGGTCGGCGGGGATGTGAATGCAACGACCCAGCCGCACCCCGCTCGCGCTTCTGGGAACTCTCCACACGTCTAGCGGCGATGGGGAATGCTCTTCCAAAGTGCACCGAGGTGCAGGCGGTGTCTAGCCGGAGTGGCTGGACGCGAACTTCTGCAGACAAAGTGTTGGCGACGAGCTCGGGACTGTCGGCGGGGTGCGAGGGTGCGGACGATGATGATGTCCAGCTGCAAGAGGTTTGTAGCTTTCTGAACGGTCTGTGCGGCCGCGGGAGTCGAGATATCTCGGCCACGGAAAACTTGTCGGCATGCTAGGCAGGCGCGACGGGGCGTCTATGATGCCCCGTCGCTGAGGGTGCGCCGATGGGCGACGGATGGCATGCATCTCGCGCGCACTCGCTCTTGGTATACGACTTAGTCATCGCGCCGCACGAGTCAGGCGCCGGGGGATTTTCTGCCGACGTGAGCGGTGCGTCTGCGACGCCGTCGATCCGTCAACGGACGGCCTCGTCTATTCAGACTAACACGACGCAGTCTGATGCGCGCGACTCGAGCGCGTGGGGTGGGACGAGAGGGCTCGCCGTCCCAACTTACACACGCCGTGCGGAGCACAAGCATCGACGGAAGGGTCATGGCAGAAACATTGCATTTTTCGCGCGTTCCTGGCTCCGGCCGCTGCGGAGGGAGCAGGGACGACGAAGGCGGCCATGGCGGTGGCAAGTGAGCTGCTCCGCAACCTTCGGACAAAAGAGAGCCTCCATGATGTCATGAGCTGTTGCTGCCTCGCGCCACTGATCCGCGCGTCCCCCCCTTGCGCCCGGACTTTCCCTCAGACCTCGCGTCGAGCCCCGGCTCCTTGTCCTGCTCAGGCCGCTCCACTTTCTTCTTTCGTCCGTCTTGGCTCGAGGCGGTCTAGCCGCGAGCCTTGTGTAGGGGTGGGTGGCTGCGATACCATAGCGACTACGCCCTCAACACAGCGAACTGTCCCTGCTGATCATCAATTTGCCATGTCGGTAGTCGGTGAGAGCCCCTTTGAGCCCGGCGTCCAAGAGATGGCTCCTCAAGCCCACCCTTGGCCCTGCTCCGATAGAGACCTTCTGACGTTGGAACTACTCACCTTCTGATCCGGCTTATTGATTTTGCCGCGTGTGATAGTTCCAATTCGCATCATGTTTGCCTTGGGCTTCAGGCACGACTTAGTTTGGTATTTCTTGTTGTGTAAAAGTGACTGCCTACCATTATAGAGTTCTGGGTGATATTATGATGAATACGTGTTGGGCTTTATTGTCACATTGCTTTCGTAACTTGGCACCTGGCTATTCATCATTGTACACACATGGATTTTCCAAGAGTGGTGTTTACTAGTTTACAACGTGCGAGGGACTATTCTTTGGTGGTAAATAGTTAAAAATTTATTACTATTACCTGGCTCGTTAACAGATTAACACAGAATTATATAAAATTATGACCAAATTGTGACATGAAACAAACACCATTGCAGCTCAATTATAATACATCTCGAATTGTAAAAAAGAAGTCATTCATCACCAATATTATCTCCCTCTCATCTGCACTCTAGAACCTCAGAGCAGGTCGGTTGGCGGCCAAAAAGTCAGAGTTTTGGCTTCGGAAGTCATCTTTCCATATCTCGTTACTGGATCTTCGGAAGTTGATTACTTCCTTATTTTCATTCCATGCAGGCCATCTGGTGAATTCAGGGTTGCCGCCAGAGTTGGGGTCAAGGTCGTGAACAAAGTTGATGTAATAGTACTGAATGCTTCTGGTTGGGAATCCAGGAGTTATTCCGTAGGCGGGTAGAACGTCACTGACATGGAAACTTCCAAGGATTGGTGTTCCGTATCCGTATGATGCGATGAAAGAATACAAAGGTACTTCAGGCTTTACTTTCATTCCGAAGCCCAAAATAAGACGGCGAATCATAGTGAAGGTCATGTCACCGATAATAGAGGCAAGTCTCTTGTATTGAGGGTATATGTTGTTACGAGTTCCAGTGTTGTATGGCGATCCAGCGGCGGGGTCATCTGGGTACAAGTTTACAAGGTCGGATAGTAATTGATCACTAGCGTGAGAGAAGTAAAAAGCTTTGAAGTAGTCGATGATGTCCTGAGTGGTCGTGATGTTGCTTTGTACAAGACTGAAGAGGGTACCCTCATCTTCTTGATCACCGACGATGTAGGGAACGTTTGCATACTTTCCTGCCTCACAGAGGTTATCTGCGGAATCGGTTAAGAGGTCACCATCATATCGTGGAATGTACGAGAGAGCTACAGACGGGTAATCGAATAGACCAGGTACGGATGTACTGGCCTGGAGGAACTGATCGTAAGGCAGAGCTCTGAGGCAGTCGATCTTGTCAGCAGCGCCTTCACAGCCTCCAGCACGAACGACAGTGTTAAAAATGTTCTGGGCTTTAGGGCAGTCAGCTGGGTCTGTTGGGATGACACTGCCACTGTCCATAATGGCAGCTCGGAACAGAGGCTTGTCGTTGTATCGTAGGTTACCATCCTTAGCAGTCAATAGGTTCCATGTAGAAATACCACCAGCAGATGTTCCAAAGAGAGTAACCTTGTCTGGGTCTCCACCGAACTTAGCAATGTTGTCTTGAACCCATTGCAGAGCAAGAATCTGATCGTAGTGTCCCAAATTTGTAAGCCCAGCATCCAATACCTCCTTTCCAGCGAGCCATCCAAAAGCACCAAGACGATAGTTGACAGCAATGTAGACAATTGGTTTTCCATTATCGATACCAGCTTGAATTAGCTTTGTAGCATCATATATCGCAGTTGTTCCGAAACCGAAACCACCGTAGAATACCGAGAACACAACCGGATACTTGGAGTCGGGAGTAGCGTCATGCGGCTTTTGGACACTGACAGTCAGACAATCCTCATTAATATTTACGAGCCTTTGAACGGCTCCACTGTTGAGTATTTCTTGGAGAGCGTCCTGAGGAACAGTTACATTTGGGTTGGTGGAGGTGTATTGTTGAGGGCAACTGGCAGGTAAGATGGCGGTGGCGTCAACAGTACCCAAGTTCTGTGTAATGGGTTGCGGGCGCTGGAGGCGAAGTGGACCGACAGGTGGCTGAGCGAAAGGAATTCCACGGAAGCTGTCGATACCGTGCCGCGATGAACCGATGACAGTTGCGTAGTCTAATTGGATGGTAGGTTGTTCCCGGTTGGCAGAAACCTCACCATCGTCTTGGGGTGGGTCGGCTTGAGCGACTGGGGATGCAGAGACGCATGAGATTAGGCCAGCGGCCAGAAAGAGAATGGATCGCATGTTGACAAAAGTACAGAACAAGAAGAGGAACCTTTAGAAGAAATACTAACAAAAGAGTGGTATTAGAGTTGGAGGCTGAGATAGCGAGAGTGTGAGCTATGAATGAAACACCAAAGTGGGCTGAAGAGCATGAGGATAAGTGGCTCGAGGTTGGATCATTATATGTGTTGTATGTGCGTAAATAATCGACCCGGCCAAAGTTCCAGACACTAAGCTTCCAATGCTATTGTACATGGGTAGTGATGAAAAAAGAACGGAGCTTAATCATCGTCGGCTATGGCCACTGTTCGTCTCATTACCACTACTCTGCTAGGGGGTTGAGCTATGTTCCTGCATCCGAAGTCACGGGCCATGCCTGCTGTAGACAAGATTGCTATCATGCGTAGGGTAGCAGGGATGTTCCTGCGTAACCAGCTCTGTAGCAGCGATCGTCTAGTGCTCTGCCAGATGCGTCAGTACTAAGTGTCAATTTGGCGCAGAAGCTGTGGTGGTTCCTGCATAGCCCCAGCGAGTATCTCAGGAATTTCGACGCGCACCTGGACCCTATCCTGGTTAATCAAGCTCTGTTTCGAGAAGCTCTAAATTAGGGCTTGAACATAGCATGGCTGGTGCCTGGATTGGAGAGCTACCACAGTTTCCGTGTGCACGGTCGATAGGTATGATTTTGCTCGTGAGCCCGAGGGCGGCATGTGCTGGTCGTTGGCAGACGGTGGCGATCAGTGACTATCCATCCGGTTCATGGCGGCTTGCGCGCATAAGCTCATGGTGCCGTGGGCCTCGAGGCAGACCTTTGACTACGGCGCTGAGGGAGCAGAGAGCGCTGTCAAGTCGCATCCAATTTCGCTTCCGTTGAGTGTTGCGGACGGTGGTTAGCCATGCTCTGGCCGGACAGCTAGCATTTGTTGCGACGTAAATGTCTTGAGACGACGACTACCCGGTCCATGGGGGGGAGGGCGTCGGCTTGGGAAAAAGAAAGGGACAGAGCAGAGCCAGTGAAGCCCAAGGCTCAAGGCGCACGCCACGTCGCTCTTCATCTTAAGCGGAAAGAGATGAACTAGGGTGGACAATCCCATAGTGCCGCAGGTCAATCTCTTGGTTAGGGTGTACAGATATTGTTGAGGCTCCGGTGTTTTGTCACCGCTACTGCTGCTCTAAATGTCCGGCCCTATCCTCACGTGATGGGCGGAGATAGGTGGGAAGGTGAGGGGAATCGATGACCCGACGAACAATAACATGGCCACCACAATTCCGTCCTTGCTTTCTGGCGTCTGCCATCAAAGGTCAGAATGACACGCTGTTTGTCTCCGCCATGTGATAGTCACATGAGACCATTTGGCCAGAGATAATCACTCACGTGACATTATGGATTGGTGCATTGATAGCGACGCGATAGACTATTGTGCCGCAGCCAATCTTGGGTTTCAATAACAACCTCAGCATGCGGTGCGCTCGCCGACTTGTCGATGTTCCCGCCGACTAAATTTCGCACCAAGTTACTGATCAATAGCGATTTCCTTGCGCCTTCACTCCGTATCATGCCGCACGATCTGATAATACGACTGAGATTAGCCCCTCGCTAATCCCCATTGATGCACTTGGTGCGAGATCTTTGCAACAGGGGTAAGTCGATAATTAATTGCTTTTGCCAGTCTTCTTGCTCGGGTCGCGTCTCGCATGTCAAGAGAGTTCAGACACCGGATCGCTCTCGCAACTGAGCTGCTTCTCACCACACATCCCAGCGCGGCTGTCACCGGCGCCTGGCAGTAGCATGAAGACGAACGACCATTCTCCCCGAGAATTCCACGAGTCTCAAGTTGGTATTTCCTACCATTCTATTTGCCAGCTACAACTTGCGATGCAGAGTAAGATTTTCACGCCTCGAAGCAGCAGCAAGTTGACTAAGGCGAGGCAGAAAACATCTGTTATGCTCATTTTAGCTGCGGACACCCTTTTCCGGTACTTTACAGGGTCCACTCCAAATTGGGCCCTGGTAAGTGAAAGGGGTACAGCTGTGGTGGGAGTAGGCTTAGTTCGCTGGCTAGCTGTGTGGGGAAGAGCTCACAACCGCCATCCATTCCAGACAACTTCTCACCACGGTCCCTATACCTACGGTGTGCACCAACGCCACGCACTCTACTTGCAAGACGCGGTCAAGAGGCAGGCAACCTACATCGGCATTATGTCTCGGTGTGTCCCTCTCCCGCCGACCCGCATCTATCTGGCCCAGGCCAGTCTTTGGTTTTTTCTCGACGCACCCAGCGCCTTGGAACCGCTGCCGGCCGGTTACTCGGCGGCAACTCACAGAGGATGCAATGGCGGCGTGAAATTTGCCAGCTCAGCAGGGCAGTCTGAAAACAACGTCTTCTACCCACGTGAGTTTACGACTCGTATCCCGATGGTGACATGGTTCTTGTCTTCGTCGCATCATTGTCGAAATAGTGCGATCTCAGCGGGGGAATTGCGAATCGGATTGTCCTACGGATCTCCGTATGTTCAGCAGCATTTGAGTGTGCCTGAAACTATGGCTTGCGGCCTGCGCATCTCTGTACTCAATCTCCTTCACTCCAACCTGAGCTTCACAATTTTCAGAATACAGTGATTCACCTTGCTAGACCGTCGGGGCGTCCAGGGCTTGCCCTGTAGTTGTACGCACAGCAAGGAGATCAAACTTCATCTGGGAATTTCCGGACCGAGCTGCCCGTGAATGCTACTTGTGGCGCTTAATCTGTTGCTAAAATCAGCCCTGTTAAAGCCAGCATTAGGAATCCCCTAAATGTATCTTTTGACGATGTTTCATTTAGCGTTTCATTTAGCTTTTCATCTGTTCTCCTGAATAATGGGGGATTCATCTCCTTCCTGCCTCAGGCTCAAAGACCAGCCGATCCATCCATTCCTTTCCGAATCCGGCAAATTACACATGTGCCCCTTGCAGCGAACATGGAGTTCATCAGGCCCAAGCTATGACTCTTTTTGCCCGAGTCGGCCCACCAGTCTGCGCGCTTGTCTCACCCATTGATATTTGCTGCCTCAATATTGCCGACTTTGTTCGTTTCGCGCTTGATTTCTAGACGAGTCGCATACTACTATGAAGCACGTGTCGCTCCCATTGTATTGCAGTTTCACAAGGCCTATGAATTGATTTATTTGTGTAGCCTCTCATATACGACGCCTTTGGTCTTCCGAGCCGATTAATCTGCAACTAGAGTATCAGTTGCACCGTCTTCACAATATCATGGACCCTAATGATACTGTGAACGCAAAATCTTTTAGCAGCCTAGTACATGGATATCGATTTCTAGAGCCAGGATGGAATCTTTACAAAATTTTCGGTCGGGGCTTTTAGAAATTGTCTAGCGTGCAGGGAATTTGCTGATGATATCCCAGAAATGCAACGCTGAGGTTCATCATGGGCATTTCCGAAACTCCTAGTGAATCTGCGCTTCCACAAGTTCGAGTATGGCGATGGATACGCTGGTCAATGCAAGTTGCACACTCTTGAAGGCCACCCTCTCAACGGTTGATCGAGTACATCCCCGACCACTGTCTCGAGATAAATTGAGATTGACTGATCGGATCGTCGCCTGCCCCACACTGCTCAGCTGTCTTCAATCTCGCACTGCAATAATAGGACTAGCTAATAGCACCTTCAAAACTTTCAGGGCAGCTCTGAGGGGAAAGCCGTGTTGTGTTCTGTTGACGGAAACGCTTCCAATCTTTATGTTGAATGCTATGATTTATGGCTTAGTCTGGTTAGATAAGATTTTTATTACAGTCCTAACTAATTCAATGACTATGGAGATCTCCTCGAATCTACATCGGATCCTAGCTAAATTTTCATTTTCAAATTGGATAGTTTCTATCTATGCTCTCACAGATAATGAGAGGTTTATTTGCTGACTTGTGATGGCTCAGTCTGGATAATACAGCAGCAAGCGACCTCGTGAGATTTTCATCGTCCGGGTGCTTCCGAAGTGCAAGATTTGGGTTCCTCGTGTGAAATACGCGCAAACTAGTTGGTTTTCAGTAGCCAGAGCGCCGTACACAACCTGGAACCCGGACTCATGTGGATGCAATTAAGCCCAAGTGCTCTAATTCCCAAAAATACCGCAGCTAATACCAGCCAGATGAGGCCTAGCGGGCACCAAGGATACAATGTAATTTTTCGCCTGATCCCCCACGTTCTAGTTCAGATGAGGACGTGCATAGCCCTTAGCAAGCAGCCCAATCATACTACTTCTCCAAGCATCAATCTCAGTCCCTTTTGTTCAACCCATTAATTTTGAGACAGCAAGGTCATCGCCACTTCCAGACGCTGAAAACGCAACGCGCGCCGTTAATCAGGGCTTATTGCAACATCTCCCATGCCTCTATTTCGGGACTAGAGTAATAGGCTGAAGTAAAAATTGACAACACGCCAACCGTATAGCGTCGTAAATTACCCACTCTTGATTCAAAGGTAATCCCTTCCTCTGTACATGAATTGCTCTCTAAGTTGGAAAGGTACACCTTCTACATATAAAGTCGATGGACAAAACTTGTAACCATCCTGGATGCTAGTCTTCCCCTTACAGTGTCAGCCGCAACAATTCTAAAGATATGGCTAGCTCTTTGATCCGTTCGAACAGGAGACGAAAACTCATATCCCGCCATCGGAGTTCCCTGCGAAAATTCAGCTTTCACCGTGAACTCTGCAGATCCGAAATTATGAAGGATAACCTAAACTATTAGGGAACACATCTCTCTTCAACCCATGAGACCCTAATTCCAACAATGATCTCCTTATCCATCGTAACAGCATTGGAAAGGCGCTGCGGTATTGAACGCTGCAACGACAGTCACAGATTCCCTCGTCGCGTTTTAACATATGCCACCCAACAACGGCCAAACCAAAGACCGTTCATTTCTTGATGAAAGCAGGCTTCAACTAGTCAACAATGTTGTCTCTACTAATTTTAAATGACGAATCTACTAGCTTGGAGGAGATCTTTGCTACACGGGCT